TTTACAAAATTCTATCATTCACTAATCTCTCAATTCTTTTCCTAGAGATATGCCATAGTCTTTTATGCCACAAGAATAAAGAATTTTCATTAATTAAGCCACATTTTGATCCAATATTTGAATACAAGGTAACTAAAACTTGTGGAAATTCATTATTCAAGCAAATTTATATAAACTATTATATAAAATACCAGAACTAACTGTCATTAAATTAAATACTTAACTTACTTTTCTACAATCAAAATAAATTGAATATCCAACAACATTTAATTTGGATAATGAAATTAAATTTTTAGAAATTGAAGGAACGTAAAAAGTGTTTAAAAGATCCATCTGATGACTGGTCTCTAATAGCAAGCAACAGGTACCTACAGCTACCATTTCTACTTTGAGACGGTTTCTCATATAGAGGAACATTTCACTTTATTTCAGTTTTTGGGTTGTAAGGAATCCTTACATTAAATTAGTAACATGAGTTGTGGCTTCAAAATCAATCTACTAAGTATTAGAATGAACTTTAGCAAGATTAGATTCATAACATATAAAAGAAAGATTCATACATCTCTTTTCGAACCAAGTTTTACGCTTATTATACTCTTTTTTCACATGACCTGTCTTGCCATAAAAGTAGCAACTCAAAGTAAATTTTTCATCATGACTCTGGTTATTCTCCCTAGATCATCTCTATTTCTTTGGTGGAATGTTCTTTACTTTTTTGGATTTGCCTTTATTCTTCATAGCTCTATGAGTAACTACAAGGGTAAAGTTATGTTAATCTTACTTTAATCTCATTTTCTCTTTAATCTCATGGTGGTCAATTTAGCCATCAATGTGCCTACAAAAGACTTATCGGCGTGTTTGAAATACTCCTCCACATATTTTAAAAATTCTCAGGCTATCTTAGTTTGAGGGAGGAAAGTTTTGATGTTAGTAGCAATGGTCATTCTCATAAACATAAGACTGAGTTTGTTTGACCTCGTCCAGGTTTTGAATTGTTCTTTATGCTCCAAAGTACTATCATCGGCAGTTTCAGGAGGTTTTTCAATTATCAAAGCCAGATCAACATCTAATAACCCTAGTGAGAATTGGACTTTTTTATACTACTCCGTAAAATTTAACCCAAGAAAAGTTGTCATTCCAGATGTAAGAGAATACAGTGAAGTGAAAACTACAAAAATAAAATAATGCTCACACTAAGACATCAAATATATTTATAATATTAAATGTATAAACGATGAACTATTGATATCAGTATAGTTTTTCCTTTGAGTAAAACATTAACATATCTAGTGTTCACTTAAAAAAGCTTAAAATACTTAATATTTTGTGTCATATATATGTTCCTTTTGGGTATCCATCTAAATAATACAAAACAAACTATCAGTTCATAATTAATAGAAAATAACTCTCATTTGGGTTAGTCTCAATCTTATAATTATAATATATATATATATATATATTATTCCTTTATAAGTATCCCTTAATTCTTTAATATAATTTAACTAATGTAAAACTCATCAACCTAAGTTACTTTGGTAACTCGCCATGTTAATAAATCTTAAGTCATAAAACTACAAAATCATAATTTGTATAAAACATACATATTTATTTATATTTATGAAATTAACTGTAATTTAACATATATATATATATAAAGTATTAATGTAATATATACATATATATATAAACTGTTAGTGTAATAATATATATATATTTAAATTGTTAGTATAATAATATATATATAAATATAAATATAAACTCTTAGTATAATATATATATATGTATATAAACTATTAGTAATAATATATATAAATATAAATTATTAATATAATATATATAATATTAGTGTAATAATATATATATATATAAACTGTTAGTAATAGTGTATATACATAAATATAAACTTTTAGTATAATATACATATATATGAATATAAATTGTTAGTAGAATTCTAAGATGTATAAATTCGACCTTACTTTGATACTAAATGTAAGAAACTTTTATGCGGAAGTCATTTTTTATTGAATTCGACACATTTTAAGAAAAGAAAGACAACGAAAAGTTAAAACTACAGACCGTTATGAGATGATGCAACCATAACGTGATTGAGAGACCCATTTGAAATGTCCTTAATTCTCTAACTCAATTCTTTTCTCTATTTAACTATTATGCACAAAATTTTTAGAATTTTAGTTGATGGAAGATACATTGAAAGAAAAATTTGTGCTGTTTTTATAGATGAGAGGAGAGATCAAAGCATATTTAAGATAATTTGAATGTGCTGATAATCGTTTCTATTATTGTAGATTAATACTTATAAAAAATAATAATTTTATAATTTATTTTAAAGTTATCCACTCTATTAAGGTATATATTTTTTTTATAATAGTTATTTATTATTTTGGGTGTCCTTTAAGTTGAATTCAACCGTTATAAGTGGATGAAAAAATAAAATAATAAATTAGTGAGTCATTCACTTAATTGCTTAAATTAATGATATGTAGATATGAATATCGATAATGGATAAACATAATTTCAATTCAATTTCGTAGAAAGAAAATTAATAGGATTCTTGAAAAACATCATTTATTTACGCAACTATAAAAATGTTTTGAGTTGGGTCCATGGGGATATTGCACGGTGTGGTACTAAGATAATTTAATTGTTTTTATTTTCTTGTTTAATTTTTTATTTAATATTTTAATAAATTAATTTATATATATCAAAGTAACAAGAAATCGGATATTAGAGTTTAATATATATAAATTGGTGAATGGATTCAGATGATTATGGATAATTGTACATTCCACTATGTTTGGAGAAATATAAAACAACATAATCAGTGGTAGTGGTAGTGGTAGTAATAAACAAGATACATACATATCATTATCATTTTTATATAAAAGATATGGAATCAAAAAACATATTTTTCAAAATTTAGTTCGAATTGGATTTAAAACATAAAACTAGAGACAAGGTTTGAATTATAAAAATTCAAAAAAAAAAAAAAAAAGTAATATTTATTTATTTATTTTTATAAAAGAAACACCTGCTTTTTCTTTTTGCAACACTCCCACCGTCCAATCTCACCCCAATCAACCAACCAATGGGTTTAATAATCTTCTGATGTTTGTCACGTGGCAGCTGTTGACTCCATAAGATCCCCACAAACGTCGCCGTATCTTATTTAAGAAAATTAAAATTCCCTTGGTTTTTGTGTGCGTGTATTTGATGATGTCATTTTCTACACCCAACAAAAAATGTAGACTTTACTGTATACTTTAACCTTTCGTGCACTTAAAGTCATTCATCTCTCATTCCTTATAATATCCAAAAATACTAATCTTTCTTTAATGTAATTAACAACATAATTAATTAATTATATATATGTATATTTATTTTTAATTTGCAACTGTCTGTCATGAAGCAAGCACAAAGTCTGATAGCTAAGAAGTTTCTAGGAGAACCACTCTAATAATATGTTTATTTTTTATGTTCTCATATTACGTATCACACCTCTGGTAGATTTTCTTCAACTTTTAATTAATTAATTATGTTTGTTTGCCCTATCTCTCCTTTGTCTCAGTATAAATTGAATGAATGCAAGTGTATTACAAACCCATCGCATAACTTTCTTTACCCTTAAGGCTTCTTCTTCTTTGCAGCTACTACCATAGTAACCCAAACAAAAAGAAAATCTTATATATATATATATATATATATTAATCTATCAGCGATTAAAGCAAAGGGAGGAAGTTATCAGAAGAAGAGAAAATGGGAGTGGAAGGAAGCATAGAATACATATCTGAATTGTTAAGCAGTATGAAAAAAAAGAAGAAGAAGAAGAAGCAGATACAAACTGTAGCACTCAAAATCAGGATGGACTGCGAAGGCTGCGCACGGAAGGTCAAGAGTGTTCTGTCTGGAGTTAAAGGTATTTTTTTACACACAACTCGATGTAATCTATAACTGAGCATATATATGTATGGGATATATACATATATATATAATGGGATCTTGGTTCAGGAGCTAAAACAGTGGAAGTGGATTTGAAGCAGCAGAAGGCAGTGGTGACAGGTTACGTAGAGGCAAAGAAAGTGTTGAAGGCGGCACAGTCGACGAAGAAGAAGGTGGAGCTGTGGCCGTACGTGCCCTACACTCTGGTATCAAACCCTTACGTTTCTCAAGCTTATGATAAGAAGGCTCCTCCTAATCATGTTAGGAAGGTGGCCGACACCGCCGCCATAACCGAGACCACCGTCGATGATCGTTACACTAATATCTTCAGCGATGAAAATCCAAATGCTTGTTCTATCATGTAAATTAAATATTTCTTAATTAATCAAGCTTTTTAATGTTTAATTATTTTATTACTATTAGTACTTTTGGTCAATTTTGTAACATATATATATATGTATGTATGTATGTATGTATAATAAAGGTAGATATTAATGGGGCTCTGATGCTATTATGTAACCTATCGTTCCCCTAATAAACAAAAATTTTGATTTAAATAAAATATTTGACTGTTCTTTCTCTCAAATAGTTTCTTGGTCGGGCCAGACACACATATGCTGTTGATCAATTATGTGACCAAAATAATTAATTAATTATTTGGGGCAGTTATGCGACAGCTACTGCTTTGATTTCTTTATTGTTCCAGTACTCTCTACTTGTCATTCCAGTATATTGGAGATGTAAATTAGATAATTACTTATTAATTCCTTGTCTTTTTATTAGTTTTGATG